CAAACTTTTGGTCTCTACAATCAAATAAACTCCAAGAAAATGTAAACAATGACATATTTTCAAACTATCAAAATATTTAAATATACGGAAAAATAGCCAAAAACGTGATGATATTATATTAAATTGTTATGTATTCCAAGGAATGGGAATATTTGGGTGGCTATGGAAATTGGAATTAATTGTGTAAAACATGGGGAGAAAAGTCCGAGGCAAAACAGTTTCTAAATTCCGACATTTGGATTAAAGTGTTTGGAATATCAAAAAAACTTTATTCTTTGAGATGTTTTTACACTATTTTTTACTGAATGGGTAGTTAGTCTCAACCAAAAAATTTTTGGCCAAATTAAAATTGGATAAGCTATTTTTTTTGAGCTAATTTTTGTATCGATTTTCTAATTGGCAAATAGTTTTTTGTATTAACTTTATTTTTTACAGACCAATTATAGGATTAAATTTCTTTTAGCAAACAACTTTTTTTCCGATCTTTTTTTTAGCGAATTTTCATTTGGCAAACATTTTTTTGGTCATTTTGTCTTGGTACCAAATCAAGATATTTTTATATATTTCAGTCTGTTGAATTTCAGATTGAGAGTGTTTTTGAAAATATATAAAGAAAATGATTAATGCTATTTATTATTGCTATTTCCCTTATTTATCATAAAGAAAAAATTACGCTAGTTATATAGAATAAGTTTGTTGATTCATAGATAACAGAAACAGGGGTACGTTATAAATAGAATTCTATATATAACTCCATTATCTAATTGTTTCACAACACTATTTTTGAGAAAAAAGAAAGTGGTAAGATGCGAAATTAACTGTTTACAGGTCAATGAAAATTAATTTTTCTATTTTTTTTGTGTTTCTGTTATAATATATTTGTTTAATGATATACTCCCATACAAATATATTTAACGCAACAGAATTTTTATCAAAAATATCACTACTATATAATTGCCAAATATAACCTCTTTGGAAATAAGTATTTAAGGGCTTACTAGGACACCTCTAGGAAGTCAAGTTTCTCAACTAGTCTAATCACATAGTTTTTACCTAATCATAGTTTGTTTATTTTAATCAAATATTTCTTCTTACATAAAAATTATAACAGTTCCATTAAATAATTTTTTATCGAGAAAATTTTGGAAAAATTAACAAGATTTACTACAGTTAACTGCAAAAGTGCAGAAATGTTTTTAGTTTTTTTAAGGTTTATTAAATATCTATTTAGATAATAAACATATTATTCCCGGATTTTTATTAAAGATTCTTAACATGTATCTAATTATAGTTACAAAGTATCAAAATGAACAATGTAATATTAATAAAGACTTTGCCAGATTAAGTTGATTTTTTTAAAAAAATAAATTTTTAATTTTTTTTAAATCTCAACTTAAAACTTTAATAACTTTTACAATATTTTTTGTATAAATTTTAAACCTCATTTTATATAGTTCATATACCCTAGTATGTATTATTAAATT